AAATTAAAAATAAAATAAAATAAATGACATATTGCAATAGGGGAAAGTGGATCACATCAAATTGTTAACCTCAAATTAATATCTGACAGGATCAGTGTAAAAGGTCATGTGTAGCCATTAATCAGAAATTAGTAAACTAATTTGGCCAATTTCCACAGTTTAGTCAAACTACGCTGATCAGCTCAATATGTCGATTGCGTGTCTGCCTGGATAACTCTCAACTTGACGTGGACAAGAAGCAGAAACATACAATCATTGCTGTTTTTGCACAAACAGACTGTAGTAGAATTGAAAAGGTTGCTCCAGTCTTTTGGCAACTTACCCTACCTGCAAGTTGCAGCTGATCAGAAGAGCTTTTGTAAATTTAGCTGTTCAACATCCAATAAAGATGTTTTTCAGGTTATAAACCTGAAAAAAAAAAAAAAAATCATACAATTCTGAATACTTGGATTATGTTTAGGTTACGAATGTTTGGAAACGTCCTTTGCCATGAATTCTGAATTGTGGCATTATTTTACATTAAAGGTTACATGCAAGTGTTCCTATCATTACACTATGAAGGCCTTCATGGGGTGCTGTTTCTCATGCTAATCTCTCAAGGTGTTTAAAGCCATAGTGAGTGATGCATCCTTTGTCCACGCTGATACATAGGCGGCCCTTTTTGCCCACTACCAGACCCTTCAAGGGGGTCGTGGCAGATCAAAGATGTTGGTCACAGCCATTAGCCCTGGCAGCCCTAACCCCACATGAAAAGCTTATTTTTTTAAAAGAAAGGCAGAAGAGAAAAAGGAAAGGAAAAAAAAAAAAAACAAGCCCCTCTTCGTTTAAAAAGCAAGCAAACTGTGAAATAATTGAAAAGTTATGTTAATCAAGAGCAGGAACACAGCAGGATTCCCAAAATTCCCAGGCCTTTGCTCTGGTCGAGAAAGAAGCCGTGGGCAGAGGTTTGCTCAAGGGGCAGTGCGAAAAATTAAAAGAGCTCAGAAAATTAGCAAGCAAGACAACAGGGGCGAAAGAGCTGAAACATTTCAGCCTCCTTCTAGATGGACTGAGGCATTTTGCTCCGCCGTGGTGCCCTTCATTCAGAACGCTTGTTCATTAATTAGATCTTGTCCAGCTTTTCACCTCACAGGTGAGCAACAAAGACTTGATAGGGGGCCGGTTTTCTGGAGGCTCCTTCCCCCACCGCCAAACCCACCATCGTCCAACCAGCACCTTCACTCTGTACTCCCTCGGGTCCTTCGCCCTCCTCCCCCCACCGCCGTACTGTGGTTCTGACAAAAGGGAACCCAGGGAGAGTGTCTCTTTCGTTCCTTTCTGTCTTTTTTTTTTTTTCTTCCGAGGTCAGGAAAGGCTTCAGTGATCTGACGATGGGCTAGCGTCCAAAATAAGGGCGACAGAAAAAAGAAGAAAGACTAAAAGAGAGTCTGGGTAAAAGACTTTTTCTGCTTTAAAAATCTCTTAGAGGAGAAATAAATGGCAAGTCCACAGTTGACTAGACACGTATAGTGCAGGATTTGCTTGTAATGGCAGCTTGAGCTTATTGACAGTCCCAGCCAAAACATGTCAAAGGTTAAGAGATCTTGCCAATTGCAAGTGGGGAGCCAAAAGTGCCTTTTTTCTTTCGCTCAATGGGGCCATCAGTTGATACTTGCTCTGCAGAATGAGGCAAAGTGGTGACCCACGGATCCAACGGCGAAAAGAGTTATTTTGTTCTCATTGTTTGTCTTTCTTAAAGTGATATTTGTTCAAAACTATTGAATTATTTATTAGCTTAAGAAATTGTAATAGTTTTTAGAAATGCGAGCATGATTCAAGTAGACTATGATCAATGTCCCAGCTATTTAGTCATGAGCATATACTGCAATGGATATACACACCTTTGTAAAAAATGGATGGATTTGGTGATTATTAAATTTAGACTGAGATAAATCATTTTGGAACTTTTTGCACATTTAGTTTATGTTTGATTTTGTAAATCACCCTTTTAGATGGGAATCTGTGAAAAATATGACGCTTGATTACTCTGGCTTAACACCATTAAATTAATACTTTGAAAAAGCAACTTTTAGATTATTTTCTGCATTCAGGAAGGGAGGTGTGCCCTTTACACCTTAAGTCTGTGCACACTTACAATCAGATAGATCTACTTTTTCTTTTATTCCATCTGATTATTTTCTGTTAAATTATACTGCATAAACATCACATTGAACAAAATTATCCAGGCATAAATCGAACATTGTATACAGTCATTACATTTCTGGCTTGGTTTAAAAATAACTTAAGATAGAAATCTGTGCTGCATTACTGTGTTATCAAACTGGCACCTTTTGTTTGTGTTAAATCCAGACTGGAGTGATATTCGAAACTCAACGGTTTGGAAAACTCTTTAATAGCTTAGAATAATTCACTCTGAACACAATGGTGTGACTTTTCAAATGGTGGCCTGTGAGTTATGTGGATCTCCCTGGTGTTTATAGATGTGTGGTCAAGCGTCAAGGGCCTAAGTGATTCCTTTAAGTGAGAGGGAAATTCCCTCTTGCTTCTTCAAATCTTTTTTTTTTTCTCATCTGGCTTAGCAGGAAGCATCAGGGATGAATAAAATGTATTTTTGAAAAACAACCGTAGCTAGCATGCTAATTTCAAAGTGATCACGTAAAAAGAAGCTCAAAAATCAAAATGATTTTGCACCTGCTATGTCATGCTTCTTAAATGAGCAAACTAAAGTGTTTTTCTACACTATGTTTAAACCCCCCCAAAAGACACATTAAAATAAGGAGATTTGACAATTTACACAAAAATTCTAGAAATGTCTCTGATGTGACAAATTCGGTCCCATGCTGTAGCTTCAAACACCAAATGGTGGCAATTACAGCTGGCACCACTTTCAGGCACCAGCGGTTTTCACTGGCCTGCACTAATGCCCCGTAAACCCTTGCAGGGACCCTAAATTGTCAACCGAGTCTCGGCTTATTGCTTACAAGTCGCTTGCACGCTTCAGGTGCCACCACAGAACACACCCGGTATTTGTAAACACAGCTTGTAAAAAAAAAAAAGAAGAAGAAAAAAAAAACAAAGGAAACCACACACTTTAAAGCATTAATGTTTCCTCTGAGGATCAGAGCCACCATAGGGGCGCAGCTGGGGAGATACCTGGATGAGCGAAACCGAGACACTCACACCTTCCTGCAGCTGTGCCCGAGTCGAGACAAGGCATCGTTTACACGTTCCTGTCAGGGAAGAAAAGAGCTTGAGTGTACTTGCCTTGCTCTTCTTCTTCATCTTTTTAGTCTTTGTACGTTTGTGTGGATGGCTGAAGCAGATGATTTCACATTTCACACATGACAATAACTAGGGATGTTGAGAACTGGAAGATGAAAAAGGTTTGCAATTAATACAATGAGAGTAGTAAGTATGTATATATATATATATATATATATATATATATATATATATATATATATATATATATATATATATATATGTCTGAGGACCCAGGGAATACTGAATTCTTAACCAGTAACAGCACTTTGTAATATTTTGCAACTATCTGGGACATAAGAGTAGAAATTCGAAAGATAGACATGAAATCACCAACTCAAATGATGTAGCAGTTTCCAGATACAACTGGCTTTCGGAAGACACCGAAGTCCATCTATGTGCATCTTAACCTAAGGATTTATGAAGTTGCTCTGTTAGTGAACAATCAGCATCACAAAGGCCAAGACAGCACTCTACAGATCAGAGAAGCAGCCAAGAGGCCATGTTAACTTCGACTGAGCTGCAGAGATTCACAGTCCAGGGGGGGAGAATCTGTCAACAGGACCAAAAATTTGCCGACCACTCATAAAATCTTGGGTTCATGCTAAAGTGTGCAAAAAGAAAACAACTGTTAAAAGAGACCCACAAAAAAGTCAATCCACAGTTTCCCATAGCCCACACAGGGGACACAGCGGACATGTGGAAGAGGCCGCTCTGCTAAACAGATCAAACCAGAGCTGAACATCTCAACCTACACGGTAAGCATGTGTAATAAAATACAATAAACAGCCATGGGCACACACTTCCCACGGCAAAACATGGTGGTGGCAAGCAGTGGCAAGCTGTGTGGGTACTTTTCTTTAGCAGCAACCAGCAAGTTAATAATAGTAATACAAGAAAATGTGTCCTGCAACTTTTAGATGCTTCTCTACTTCAACGCACCTGAGTCAAATAATGAAGTCATTACCAGGACTCTAGAGAACTTGACTGCACTTAGGAGGTGATTCAGCTATTTCAGTGAAGCGTGATGGACCAGGGAGGCAGCTGAGAGCCGCAGGACACCGGCCTTTGAGGACCAGGACTGCCCAGCCCTGTTCTACTGACTCTGTGATTCTACACACAGAGAAGTGTAGAATCTATACACAAATATGCAACAGATATCAGTCTAGTTTTCCTGCAAGTACCTGCATGATTCACAGTAACAAAAAAAAAAAAAAAGGTTTCACATCGATCATATATAGGCAACCACATCAAGGCTCTCTTTTGAAGGTGTAAACCAGCAAACAACCACTATCTTCTTCAATCAACTCTTATTCATGGTGCTTGGAGGCAACCACAGAAACCTTCCTGTCGTGGCTGTGGCCGCTATTTTCTTATCCAGATTAAAAGCAAACCACGTGGCACTTGTTTGAAAACTCTAAGTGGGTTGGAGAGCCCACTTAAGTGGCAGAGACACATAGGCTTTATTTCCTTTAGTAAACAACACTTGCAGGAGCAGGATGAAGTGTCACATCCTGAGGAAAGAGGACTTTTATTGATGCATGTAGCAAAGCCACGTGAAATGTGCAGGTTCAGACGATGGGGTGCTGCAGGTGTGTATTTGCTACAGAATTTGCATCATATCAAGAATCTCCCGCGTACATTATCGTCTGTCTTACGGCAGAGAGGCTTTTGATTGTGAAACAAAGAAAGCCTTAATGACTCTAACCCAGACTCTTGTCCCTTCTCTTGTTTTTCAGGCTTGATGGAAATCCGATCTGTCAGCGTGGGAGTTGTTGCCATCAAATCTGTCAGTACCGGCCTGTACTTAGCAATGTCCAAGAAAGGCACGCTCTTTGGATCGGTGCGTATACAGCCTTACGACATTGCTTCTGGAGGTCAAGACTTCCAGGTCTAGTCATTGTGGAGGGTGGGAAAGGTACCCAAGATGAATTGCATGGGAACATTTTACAAGAAAGTCAAATAAAAAAAAAAAGAGGCCAAAGTGTCACACATCTATACCTGCATCCTCAACCAGCTTGTTACACTGTCGAAATAGATGATAGAAAAAGAAAAGAAAACACTAGACGGGGACAAAGAGCCAGCTGGGCTGGGATTAAGTGCTTGCCAATTGTTGTTTGGCTTAGCAAGGTTTCAAACGTAATCACCTTCCATTGTTAAAATCAGACACACGAAATCTGTGATGTCTACTGCACTAACATCTTAAGAGAAATATCAGTCAACAAGTACTGATATGGAAAAGGGACACACCCTGCACTAAAACTTTGCACATTTTATACATTGGGGATCCAGAAACTCCAAGAGATTCATAGAAGGTTCAGGCATCACAGTGAAGATCTTGTTTTGGCAGCGTGATGGCAATCTGGAACATAACACCAGAACGTCTTGCAGTCATAAGAGGCAGGAAGTGCCCACATACAAGTGGATTGGATGTGGCCTGGATTTTGTACCAAAAGAACGTCCTTCCAATAATAAAAAAAATAAGATTAGAAAAGGATTAGTTTTTAAAAATCCTCCCGGTGGAAAATTTAACAGTCAGGACTCAAAAACTAGATCACAAACTATTACTACCTACTGAGAAAGTAATGAACTGAGTAAAATAAGTTTATTGAAGATTGTTTTGGGTGGTGAAATAGTTCAGTATTTTTTTTGTAGGTACACTTTAGGCATACCAAGTAGGCATTTTTTAAGCATAGCCTATTTTAGTACTGTTGCAGGCCATGTATCTCAGGTTCTGGTTTCTTGAGCATGACAATCAGTTTGCTATACTCCACTAGTCCCAAAAGTCAGCAGAGCTAAATCAAATACAACCAACAAGTGTGTTGTGATACCGTTATGTCAAGATAGGCAAAAATCTCTGATAATTATTTCTGAATCTGTGTTAGCTCTATGCCAGACAGAAGTAAGGAAGATGAAAAGTCCAAAAAGTTTTGATCGCACACCAGCAAGATGTACCTGATGAAGTGGCCAGTGATTGTACGATAATTCTTTCATTGACCAATGAGGCACATCTACCTGAGGACCTTTTAATTCTCATAATCTTCAATTTAAAAGTTGACATAATCAAGAACACCTGCAATAGGAAAATGCACCCCCTGCAACATCTGCAAACACCTGGAAAATCTCTCAGTGCAACAACAGACCTTGACCTTTAAAGGACGTCTTGGAAGCTGGTCTTTGATGGCGCAGCCGGAAAATCAGTCAGCGTTGAGATGCAGGCCTTTCTGCTAACATCCTTAATCGTCTCCCTCTGTCTGACCGCAGGTGAAGTACAGCCCAAGCTGCAAATTCAAAGAGCGCATCGAGGAAAACGGCTACAACACGTACGCCTCGCTTCGCTGGAAGCACGGCGGCAGGCAGATGTTTGTTTCGCTGAATGGACGCGGGAAACCACGGCGAGGTCACAAGGCTCGGCGAAGGCACCCGTCCACTCACTTCCTGCCTATGCTTCCCTCCTAGGCGCGTCTGAACTCTTCCAGGCTGCTGCCCGGCTCACCTGCCCCCCGCCCCCTCACATTAGTACTGATCTAGATGTGACAACAATCTTTCCTTTTTATTTATCCATCCTCATGTTACATAAATGTACATTTGCTGAGCTCTGTAACATTTTAGAGTTAGGATATCTGCTTCTTAAGTTATTTTCTGCATATTCTAATGAGGTTAATATAAAACAGTGCAGTCCGACAAAGAAAAAAAAAATATATATATATTGTGTTTTTCTTCACAGTTTCCACATTTGTGTATGTGTGTGTGTAAAAACTGCATCGAAAGATGTGAGAGGCATCACGTCTACAGATAGGTATTAAGAAAAAAAGCAATTAGAAAATAGTTTTAAATCACAGGGAAAGGTGAAGACACTGGGGTTTTGCTCTGTTCACTTTCAAGCAGGTTCGAAGACATCAAAATCTTAAACCATACACATCAATCAGTTTTAGGGTTTATCACAGATTATGTGAATAACCTTCAGATTAAGATTATGTGATACAACTGCTCTGTGTAAATAAAGCAAACAAACAACAACAAAAAAGACGTTTTAGGCAGTAGTCACTTCTTTAAACTAACTGAAGACGTAAAATTCAAAACAAATAAATAAAACAACAAATAAAATAAAAAATTGAAAATATGTTGCATAAGAAAAATAACATTATAAGCTGCAAAATAATTCTACATATTGCATGTAGTAGTAGTTTACTATGTTAAGTACTACTTCATATATTGATGAACCATTGTATTAAAGCATTGTTTTTTTTGTTTTTTTTAATTTGGTATTTCTTACTTTATAAGTCAAATCACACCTTAAAAAGAGGAATGAGTTGAATCTAAGTGGTCATGGAAAAAAAAATAAAAAAAAAATCTGACAGTAGGGGTTTGGTGCTGGCCATTTTGCCTCTTTGTTATTTCATGTTTTTTTTTTTTTTAGTTTTGTTCATTTAAAAAAAGAAAGAAATGGAGTAAACTGGAACATCTTCCATGGGATGTTTCACACTGACCTACATCTATTTGTACTCTCCAGAGGGATATTTTCTACCATGCTTGGGCCATTTTATTCGTGAAATATTACAGATCATGATCCCTAATCAAACTAAAACACTCAAATAACTTCAATTCAACATGTTTCGTTACATGACTTTGAGTATATAATAGAAAATTACTTTTAATAACCAAATTCAAAAGATGCACGGTTGGTACAGAGCATGCAATCCCATTTTGTATCCTAAAAAATCATGAAGAAAACCATCGGATTTGCAAAAAAAGTAAAATCATGAAGAGTTGCAATGACCAGCAATTCTCCTTATATTAGAGAAGAACAGAACGTGAGGTAATCAAAGAACTGATGTCATTTAATACCCTTTGTATACTTTTGTGTATTTCTGTCAGACTTCATCTAACTCTCAGCCAATAGATGATAGTTTAAAAGGCAGGAACATGAACCATACAGCATGTCCCTAACTTGCTGGTTCTGCACATGTCAGCAGACTCCATAAACCATATACCACCATAAACTTTCAAGCTGAGTAGTAAATAGCTTAATCCATACTGCCTCTCTGCAAAGACTTGCTAACCCTAGAAAACACAACTGTTTGCTGATAGAACATTTAATATATTTAACACTATTCTTACTCTCTAACTCTTAAAGTTGATGTGTATTGTTGTTTTTGACTCTTTTGTCGGACTCCAAGGAAAATAGCTACATTCAAGTTTTATGTTTGGCTCAGTTTGTATGATATTACTACTGAATACTGGTACATTTGTGATCCACTTACTGCATGAAGCACAGCTTATTGGTCAGTTGTATGTAAAGTTCCATCCTTAGACAACAATCCTAAAAAAATCCATCTAAGCTAAGTCATTTGAGTGCCTTCGTGCAAGATGAGTTTGGTAAACCTAAATAAAATCTGCAAAACTCATGAGTCATGCTGACTTTCTTATCTCCCCGGCGACCGCTTATCTGGACCCTGCCACTGTCTGAGAAATGTTTGTGACATCTCCATCAGAGCTCTGTGACATAATTTGCCCACCTCATCTTGATCAAACCTCACAGCACGAGAGGTCTTGACGAAGAAGACCTCCTGCTGGATCAAAGCTCTACTATGAATGATGAAATTGCTCTTACACATCATTTACACACAAATTTAAAAGGTTTTAGCTTCCACGTGAAAACAAAGTCTATCTCCATACCTCTGGAGAGAAACGTATAACGAGGCGTCGCAGATACATACTAAAACCTGCATTGTGCAACGAAATCTCATTTTCTGCTTGTACTTTGAACCGATTCTCCTCTTTGCCATTGTCCTCATTCTTTTTGCCCTGCTCTTTCTCTCTCCCTCCCTTTTAAACCATTCACCAACTTCCCCTCTCTCTTTTTGTCCTGAGAATGTGACTGACTTTTGGTGCCAACTACAGGCATAGCAAAAGGGAGCTGTGATTATCATTGCTCTACCACTGTCCTGTCAGTGTTATGCTCTTTGGCAAAGATTCTTTGGAAGTCCTCATCAAAGGCTTTGGTCTTTGATCTGGGGGCATAAGGAGAAACCCTAAACACTGTGCTGAATAAAAAAGGAATGCCCCCAAAAACAGGGCGCTGAGGCCGATGCACCTTTTCTCTGTCGCGTTCATATCGCAGGTGTTTACGCAGCATGCGCCGATTGGGTTAAAGCTTTGAAAGATGGCACCTGGCAAGCTGCAAGACAGGCTTCACACGTCTGCACGTACATGCACAGCAGAAGGTTCCCCATCTTCAAGAAAACCCGTTTTCATCAAAACTCCACATGAATAATTCTATACAAATCACCTAAAGCACCCTTTATAGAAAAGGATACTCTGAATGCTTTAACCTTCGTTTTGCAGCCGAGTGACAGAAGAAAGTAATAATTGAAACCCATTTTGAAGGCCTCCGCCAAAATCTACAGGGGCACAAGTCATGCTGCTTCAGCGACAACAAACCGCAGCCTCTGAAACCTTTGAAACCCTGTGTGGTCATTTTTCTCTCACAGAGGCTGAAAAGAACTGTGGTGGGTGGGAAAGAAAAAAAAAAAAAAAAGGAGAGAGCCCCTCACCACTCATAATACCAATCTTATGTATGTAGATGAAAATGGAAGAGATGGGAGGGGTTGTGATGAGGGGGGTGGTGGTGTCTGACAGACTAAGGCACAATTTTAAAGCGCTTATTGAATTGCTATTACAGCTCCTGAGACTAATTGTGGCTGTTGTGTGTCTCTCGGTGGCCTAGGGGGCTCTGGAGTGGCCCTGTATGCTCTTACTCAGTGGGGTTTTCAAACCGAGTGGCCCTGAAAGAGAACGGGACCACCGTAGATCAATGGCAAACCTTTCACTCTTTCACAGGCCCTTGCTAATCCTTCTCATTTGTCTGCCATTTGTTGAGGCACATTCATGGCTCCCTGAATTTAGGATTAGAGCTTGTTTTGTTACAAAAACAGCCCGAGCTATAACGCTGAATAGATGGGCTGAAGGGTGCGCCAAGGATGAGTGGGGATGTGAGTTTTTGAGTATGTGTGCATATATGGTTATTAAGTCACACTTTGATCGAGTTCAGGTAAAAAAAAATATCAGGTCTTTATCATGTGAAATGATGTATCTTTTTGGAGATGATACAGTGGGAAGGCAGAACTAAACATTAGTAGAGAGCTGATAGAGCTGTTTGCAATGGTGTGTTTTATTTTTAAAATAGTTTTTTTTTTTAAAGTACAAACTCAAAAAAACCCAAAAGCAAAAAAGCACAAAATATAAGAATAAAGGGAACATTGTCCTCCTTACCTTAACCAGGTCACATTCACAATACATTGTTTTCTGTCAAAATGGCACATATCTATTTTTGGCAAAATGCTTTCAAGTAAGGGTTAGAAAATGTTGGATTTTGGATCCATTCATAACCTCATCTAGCTTGACAAAGACTCCAGTTTCATCGAACAAAAAAACACTCCTGAGCATAATGCAGCCACCACCTTTACATGAGACGATTTTATTCTAAACATACCATTTGGAGTAATGGTTCAGAAGTTCCTGATTGGTTTCATCATACGCATTCTTCTATAAAGTTTGTTAAATTATCTTTGAAAGAAAACTCTTCTGTCGAACTGCCATCGTCCAGATACATTGAAAATACAGGATATTTTTGTACACAACCAGGACTTCTTCAATACTGCTGTCGGCCTCAAAAGCACATCAACCAGTTTAAGGGCGAATCACATTTTGCAACATGACAAAATGTGAAAAATTAAATAAAATCAAGGGGTATGATTACTTTTGCACAGTTCTGGTTCAAGTTTTTATTTTAAAGGAGTTGCCTCAAGATCACAATAAGTAACTTAAAATATAATGTTATCCAGCAGAATCGACATAGTTCTTCCATTCACGTCTTTGTGCATCTCTCCACTTTCACACAGTGAGAATCAAAACAGACTTTCCTGTCCCGACTCCCTGGAGAAACTATTTCATAAAAGCCAGGGAAAACATGAACAAATTGATTCATCACACATGAAGCACACGCAAAGGAAATACAATTTCATGAAAGCAAACGTTCCCTCCGGAGTTCGATATTATTATTACTTTTTTGCACCGAAGCTGTGAGGCTCTCCAAGCACAGTGCTGGCAGGCGGTGGCAGAGCTACCAGCTTCTGCAGCAGCCTCAGGGCATCTCATCACTGAGTGGATTAGTGTTCATGTCTGAGGCCACTTAGTAGTGGAGTTTAGATGGGGCTGCTGAGTGGCACCTGCACCACGTTTCCCCCCCCCTCTAATCCCTGCCACATCGTGACGCAGGTATGTGTGGTTCCGTCCGGTCAAACCCCACGTCGCAAATTCTCTGGATGCTTGCCGTCGTGCCAGACGCCGGGGGACTGAGGTGGAGGGATGAGTGGAGAGGTGATTTTGTGAAGAGGAAAGTTGGACGTAAAAAGAAGGATACATTAGAGAATTTAACTTAGGAGTATGTGCTTTGTTGCTGAGAACAAGCTGGATACGACAGACATGTGGAAACAAATTCCACATCCCTCTGAAGCAAACATAAAACATTAAAATGCACTTGAAACCAGATATTTACACAGACCGGTCATGTTTCATCATTGCTATGCATAACTCCAATTTAATTACACTGGCCTGATGACAACAAAATCAATGTTTCGGAGTAGCCGTCACAAAGCCCTGACCGATGAGCTACTGTCACCAAGGTGACTTACGAACCTGACACAGTTATACTGTTCGAAGGAATGGGTACAAAATGTCTGTCGTGAGATGCTTTTTAAAAGGATACCAAAAACCTGCAAAACCTGAAGAAAGTTTAAAAAAAATGTTCTCTCTCACAATACCGATTAAAAACAGTGAAGGTTTATTCTGACAGACAGCAAGTCAAAAATATTTTACCTTTTCGAACGAGTCCACGTAAACATCAGGTGTCAGCTGTTTATTATCAGGAACTCACCTGATTTAGGTAATAGTAACCATTTCTATATTTCAGGTTGAGCTTTTTGTTTTGACAGAAAGATGATTAGCCAATAAAAAAAACAAAAACAAATGAATGGGAGTAACACAAGTGGACTCCATCTATATTGTTTGGTCAGCTGAGGCAGGCCAGCCGGGTGTTGGCCACCGTCCCAGTCATCATTGCGAGGTTGTCTTTGGCCATTAGTAGCTGGAAAAGACCAAAGGCAGAGCGGCATCGCACAAAGCCAGAACTGTGCCAAAGCCTGTCCGCCCCGCTCCCTTAAGCCCCGCTTTATGTGAATAATTCTTTATGCCGGTGAAAACCAGACCAATCCTGCGTTTTGTCACTGCGAGCGCGGTGATATTTGCTTTCACTTCAAAGATCAACAGGTGGATGGTCCACTTTGACATTTCTACACAGTGTCGAGTTCTGAGCATTATGTTGTGGTTGGGGTTGAAACAGACCAGGTGTGAAGGTTTTCGTTGGATTAAAATCAGACAATAAGCAAACGTCCTGTTCTGTCATCAGGTTGTCGACACAGGAACCTAAACTTAAGACCTCTGCTTCTAAATGAGTGTGCAGGTGAAGTCCAGACTTACGCCATGGCTCACCTTGTAAATATGTGCTGTCTGTCACAGCAGCGTATGACATAACAGTTTTCTAAAGAAAAATATCCAACCTTAATTTGAGTACACCTAATCAGAGGTAAGAAATCTTTACAAAATCAGATGCCAGCAATTGAGGTATTACCTTTCATTAGAATAAATGTAACAGAAAAATTGTTTCATTTATATTTTATTTTCAAATAATATATGAATATACAGGAAATCTTTAATTAGTTATCTATAGCTTCTTGGGCAAGGCACTTAACCCAAACTCAGCTACTTATTTTCATTTCAGTGTATGAATGTGTGCACATTTATTGACACGACTGACTCTGTTGTCATTAAATTCAGTCCATTTTCTCTCTTGAAAATAGGAAAGGCAAAAACAACAACGTGCATTTCAAGTAGTGCAGATGTGTGACTGACTTCATGAGTCAAGAAGTGTCTACAAGAAAACGTGCAAAAGTCTGAACAAAAATGTCTAAAGTTTTAGCGATATATTCTTGTTGTTTAGGAAAAATGTTTTGACATTTTTACTACTGTGTTCCTTTTCCACAACACTTTGCATGATTCAAAAGCTGGAAGCTGACCCCAAGTTTATCTTACCACCAAGTACCTTGAGGAGGAATGAGGGAGGTAAAAAAAAAATCTTCAGAACTCACATAAGAGAACTGAATGCAAAGCACAGCATACTGTCCAAACTATATTGCCACTGAAGCAATTTTAAAATGACATAAGAAATTTTATTACATAGTACAATATACAAAGTACATAGAAGATACATATTTGGCTTTTAGGTGTTTAGATTTCCTGAAATCTTCCACTCTCATCTTCTGTTTCACCTGCATATCACTGACTGACT